TTATCCAGAGGACCTCAAGCTTGAATAATAGATCAGCCTTTTGATGTCAAAAAAAAAAAACAAGTAAATATTTTACAGAAGAAAAAAAGAAAGAAGCAAACTATATTGGAAAGAACACAATTTTTTTGGAAACGTTTTCAAAAAATACATAGATCCTACATTTACTTTACAAAAATAATGGTAGAAAATAAATAATACAAATCCATAAAATCTACTATGAATAAAAGTTGCAAATAAAGCCATTTTAGCCTGTCCACGTATGCAGATATATTCAACCAATAGGAAATCAGTTTCTGGCCACGTCAGCGACCTTGCCTTTGTCGTTTGGGCTTGAAATCTTGCACGGCCTGGCCACGTTCAATTACGAAAAGCCCACACACCCTAATTTTTAAAAATCGATTCGCACATCCCTTACTCTTCATCTTCTTCGTTTCTTCGTTTTACTTTTTCCAATTTACAAACAATCAATTCACTCTCCCTTCATATACACTCATCAATCTCATTAACGGATTCTCTTTGCTTTCCCCCTCTGAGTTTCTATATAAAAAATTTTCCTCGACGTTTACATTTTCATCAAAAGTTGTATAATCCTCACAATTCTTTATTGCGATGACTTTGTTCGTTGTTCCCGACTCACTGTCATCTAACGGCAAAGCGGCGGTCAATTCCAGTCCGGTCAATTCTGTTGCCCAAACCGGTATCATTGTTGAGACATGGAAAGAGTGAGGTTTCTGCTGCTCATCAGATCTCTCAATCTTGGTCTCATCGTCATCGTCTTTTTTTCGTTAAGACATGACTAGGATTCGTGGCAGATGAGGAGAGCAAGAGTGTCTCTAGGCTCACTTATTTTCAGGGCGGCGATTAAGACGACCGAGACGGCGGATATAGAAACGGTGTGTCCGTACGCATAAATATAAATAAAGCTGGAAACTTTGGGGGGGGGGGGGTTGGGTTGATTGACTTTGTTATCGCAGTGAATATAGCACAGAGGAGTGCTAAATCTTTATTCGATTTCGGAAATGTTTTTAAAAAAATCTAAGGACATATCTTGGACTTCCAGGTATCTGTTTTCTTGGATTTCCAGGAATGTATTCGATTTTTTTTTCTTTTGGTAAAATCCTTTTGGGACTGACGTAATCTGGCTGCAACTGTTCTTCAGAGTTGAAAAGTTTTCTGTTTTGGAAAGGTTTGGTTTGTCTTCTTCTTCTTTGGAAAGTGGTTCAGAAGCAAGCCTTCTTCAAGGGGATCTTTTTAGCAACCGGTGAAAGTTTCCTGCTTTTTGAAAGGTAACTATTTGTCTTCTTTCGAAAGTGATTCACTTTCATGGCTATTATACTGTATTTTGTGGAGTTTATGTTATAAGCTTTATTTTGTATGTTGAAGGTTTTGCTTTTGGGATATATGTTTGGGGGTGTCTTTTCTGTGCCTGTGAATAACCCTCACTTGCGCAAATCCTGAAGTAGGCTCATCATCACCAATCTTGGTAACCACTTTTTCTTATTTTTTTTGTTGTTGTTGTTTATCTCTGTTTGGATACTAGAAAAGTCAGATCTGAACATGGTGATTTTAAGACAGAAAAAAACTGTAACATGGTGACTGAGTATAAGGTTTTGACAGGAGAGAATGACTTGAAGAACTCAAGTATGCAACTAGGTACAATAACAATTGTGAAGTTGCAAAGTCCTTAGGTCCTTAGCAGTCTCAAGGTTTTTCTTCTTTTTCTCAAGTTCTTAAATTCTCTGTCAGAGTTTTGATTTTGTAGAATGTTAAATTCTCATTTTCAGTTTTTATTTGTCTTTTGTGTTAGTATCATCGGGTGTCAGAATGTCGGGAATTCAAGTCTTTTAAATGCATGGAGAAAAGTATGGAACATAATGATGCTTTTCATATCTTTAACACTTTTATTCAAATAGTACTACATTAAATTTTAAATACAGAAATCGGTGGAACTACTCGAGACGTAGTGGAAGCTAATGTTAGACTCCGTGACTTGCCTGTCACTCCTCTTGACACTGGTGGTATCAGAGAAACCAATGATGTTGTCCTGAAAATAGATAATTTATTATTTTTTCAATGATTAATTGCCAAAGGTAAGATCTTGAGATAGAGAGTGATGGCAACTGCAGGAGTTGAGATGTTAGAAACAGCTTATAAAGTTTCTGATGTCATAATCATGGCTGTGAATGCTGTCGAAGGCTGGACACTGAGCTTCTTGGTAATTATTTGATGGTCATGGAGCCAGAATGCTCTATGATTTGACCTTAGTTAGATGGTCGTGGAGCCAGAATTATGGCTGAGGGGTGAGAGCAAAGTCTGAGATATCATAAGCAAGTACGGAGAATTTCGAGCAGCTCCACAAAAATACTTACCCCATATACGAATGCTACGAGAAAAGTGACACTAGGGTGGAGAAAGTGTTCTTTGAATGAGTTCTATGCTGCAAATGGGAAGCAGACATCTCCTTAGACTTCTTGGCCTACTGACCAACTTGGTTTGTTGGCTTCCTCATCGGATGGGTCAGGCTGGCAGCCAAAGATTTTCAGTGTGCACCGGTTACACAGAGTATAAACCAATGCAATGGGATCTAAGGATCAATATGTCAAAACTTTTAAGCAGTTCAGTCTATCGCTTGGTTTTTAATATGTTCAAAAACGAACATCAGTGTTCTTCACTACCAAAAAACAACATATATATAACATTAAATTTTATTTAATGAGTATTATAACTAATATTACCATTTTTTTTAAAAAATTGTTGACTAATTTCAAGTGATTCATATTCTAATGGTGTTATTTTTAACCAAATATAAATACATCATTTTCTACACATGTTTATAAATTTATAACTAGAAGTCTTCGGTGATAATTTGATAAACTTTACAATTAGAAAAAGATGACTGCATTGGGATATCCTTTGTCAAAGAACATACGGCTGAATTACTTTTACAGAACATCACTCCAAAAACATACGGTTAAATATAACATTCGTTTTTCTTTTATAAATTCATTTCTTATTTTTTTGTTCAAAAAAAAATATTGTTTCTATCATAAATATATGATTTATACATTTCTGGACGTGTTTTACTGTTTAAAATGTCACGTGAATGTACTTTGATCAAATCACAATGCATAAAACAAAAATAAAAGTTTAAACCAGGTGGAACTATACGCATGTGTGATGGATATTATGAATTACATGTATAGAACCATAAATTTACTTGACTTTTTAGTCATTATTTTATTAAATTATTAAATTATGTAATGTTTTTATTTTCTTATTAATTTATTATATTATGTAATGTTTTTATTTGTGCAACTGCAAACTAAAACTTATAATAATCATGTTTACTAATTTGTCGAATAATAGTTTATACAGCTTATATTGTATTCTTAAACATTTTTGTTGCATTTACACCCACATTTTACTTTAATACATGTTAGATTTAAAATGCGATAAGAACATAAATTCATACTTATCATTGTTGAATTTTATTAAAAACTAAATGCTATAAATTTATTTTATGTGATCGTGTACTTATTGACTACTAAATAATTGTTCAATTATATGAGCAATGTTCAATTGATAATGACATAATTCTAAATCATATAATATAATTAGTATAATGATTCAAGATCCACAATTGTGTGGATTAATAAAGTGTCATGCTCATATCTATAATGTATATAAAGTTAGAAAGTATATGATTTATGGTTTTAGTTATTTCAATTATTAAATATTTTAGAATCGAATGTAATGATATAAATTGTAAAAATATATACAACAGTTAAATATAAGACTAAAATAAAAATAATTGAAAAGAAAACTCACAAGGATAAAAAATATTGTTAATATTTGTAATTTTTTAGTTGAGACATTGAATAAAATTTGTTAAACGCCTCAATACTAAATAATACAATCTTATTTGGAAACACACAATAAACATTATAAATGACTTTGTTAAAAAAATTACCTATAGAAAGTCAGACTTCAACATATTGACTTATAATACATGTGTTTTTGATAAATCTTATTGGTTGATTCAGTTGGCAATAAAAAGGAATAATTTACAATACATATCTATTATATTAAAAGAGAAGTCATGACTCACTTCATGTGTGATATTTTAGTTTAGACCATTTTTAGAGTTTTATAAAATTTTACATAACATTATAATATCTTTTCATATCTTTAATTTTTTGTTTGAAATACAAATAAATAGTTTTAAGAAAATTCTAACAAAATCTTTTAGAATCTTTTTCAAGATATAGTTTCAAAAATTATTTGACTAAAATCTTAATATCATAAAGTATAATTAAAATTTTAATTCATTTTTAGTTTATAAACAAAAAATTGAAATTATGTAAAATACTTTAACAATATCCCAAAATTTTGTTTATGTATTATGTAGGTCCAACTTAATTAATTTTTACATAGATTTCAAATTTAGAAATAAAAAAAATATATAAATCAGTAATCTTACATAATAATTAAATAATTAAAAAACAAAAATTTATAAATTTTATATTAATAATTATAAGTCACATAAAAATGATTATAAATTGGATAGCATAAATAATCAAATTATATTTATTTATTGATAAATTTTATTATATAATTTCAAATATTTTCGTATTAAAATACCCGCACGGTTGTGCGGGTCGAAATCTAGTTAGTTTATTAAATTAAGAAATAACAAAGCCACTGCCACGTTATCATCAGCTACTTTTGTAGTTTTGATCAGCTATTTTTGTAGTTTTGATTATAAATTTTATAAATTATCTAAAATATTTTAATTTTTCACAGATTCTTTTTAAATTATAAATTTTATGATACATAAACTTTTACTATATTTAAACATATTATCCGCGCGTAGCGCGGAAAACGACTCTAGTCTATGATAAAATTTGATAAATTAGAATATATATTTGCATAAATACTATTAGAATCTAAGAACTCTACCGAAATCAATCAAATAATGACTAGCTACCCCCACATCTCCGATGAATCTTCCTGTGCCGGGAAACCTAACCCCGGAGCCTGAGCCAAACGCTAAACCGGTTTTACAGAGCGAGGAATCCTCAACCGCAACGGTGGAACCTCCCTCTCCCAGAAACCCTAACCCACCTGATCTCAACACAACGGAAGCAGTAACTGAAGAATTCAATGCGAAAAATCCACTCCGTGTAAGATAAATACATGTAGCTTTAGTTCTAGAATATGTTTTGGCTGCGATTGGTAGTTTTCTGACGTCTTTTGTGTCTGTTGATTAAATTCTGAAGACACTACCTTTAATTTCTTTTGGTATTGGTTTTTAGGAGAACGACTTGCAAGAAAAGAATGAACAGCTTTCGGCAGAGCCTGTTGTGGAGGAGAATGATAGTGACATGATCGTCGTTACAACAGGATGGGTAATGAGATATCAGAAGCAACCAGATGAGATAGCACAAGATGCAGTCGATCTCTTGTTGAAACATTCTGTAGGACATCAAGAAATTAGTAAAAGTGAAGAAAGTGGCCCTAGTAGAAAGAAAAACAAAAACAAGACCGATTATGATTCATCATGGGTACCTCCTCAAGGTAAGGCCATACACTATGCTTTTCGTTTTTAATCAAATCCACATTGTGATAATGCTAATGAGTAATGTTGCAGGACAATCTGGTGATGGACGGACTTCTCTGAATGATCGTTTTGGATACTGATTGGCATCGAGGGATGGTCAAAAGCGTGGCTTTAAACATATGTCAAGTTTGCATCATTCATACACGATGTTTTTTTTTTTACAATATGACACTGCATGACATGAAAAAATATATAGGGCTGAGTTAAGAGTTATATAGGCTAATTAAAACAAATCATGTGATTTTTACAGTTATTATTTTCCTATCTATGCTAATCTGTAGGCATGGACATTCACGTGTCTAATCCGTTCAGTTGGGTTTTGTTTTCCCAAGTCATAAACTTGGACCCCATTCAGATATTTTTAAAATTTGGTCCGGATTTCTTCGGATTCGGTTCATATAATAACACATTGCAAACATGGTTAAACCTATTTTTTTTTTCAGTTTTACATAGGTTCAACTACCCAAATATTGCTTGTGATTTAAAAGTATACACGGCGAAAAATATAAGCAAGTTAAAACTATCCACTAAAAATGTAAAAACAAAACATTATTTGAGCTGCAAAATAAAATAATATTGTTTAGACGTCAGAAACAAACATATTAATCATAATTAAATTTCAAATACAATTGTCAAAACGTAGAAATTTTAATATTTTTCAAACACCAAAAATATTAAATTAGGTATTTGAGTTAATTATTCATTTAATAATATTTTAAGTATTCGGGTTTGGTATGAGTTTTTGGGATTTGGAAATTTCGAATTTTTCGGATATCAAGTTGGGGTTGGCGGGATAAAACTCATAACCTAAAATATAGTAGAACAAGACTCGTTTGGTATTTATTTTAGATTTGATTTCTCAGATTCATTTTATTTATCCCCCCTTACTAATATGTATCTGCAAACAAAGTTGTGAATTAGTTTCCAATATTTAATCTTCATTTCAAGAAATTAAGTCCAGGATTAAAAGGAGGTTTTGGTTAAATATTTTTTTTTCTAATTTAAGTGATTAATTAAATTCCATTCACAAGATGTAAGACAAAGTTACATGCTATCTGCGCATTAATCTTAGTTTTCAGTAGAAGCATAAAACGTATTTTTTCTTTTCCCTTTGTATGCTGTTTTAACCACTCACAACAAACCCACATCGATGATAATGGATAAACGTCGTTAAAAAGGAAAAATAATCTCAGATGCTCAAAATCTATTATGTTATCCCCTATATATTAATTGAGAAACATTTGAAAAGATGTAACCTCAAATTTGTATTAATTAAAAAGTAACCTTGCTTAGTTGTCAATCAATTAGCATATCAATTAAACTGACGTGGCGGCTTTAGGTTCAATTGAAATTTGCTAGGGAAAAATAATTAGAGACGCATATAACGCATGTAACATAGTTTATATATTTATATATATCGCACACATGTAATGGAAGAAAAGGAAAATATACGATTTGATA